GGAAGCAGTATGAACATGAAGAATGAAGTTTAAATAGTTTAACCTGATAGTTATAAATTATGTGGTGGTGATGTGAGAAGATGTGGTAACATGAGTTCAATTATTCCAGTAACAAAAAGGAAATGAAACAAAATCCACAGAATCTCACAGGTTGTCATGACAATTTGGCTTTCTGTTATAATAGGTTCACCTCCAAAATGGCAAAAAGTGCATTTATTGTTTATCCATGTTTGCATTATTGGAGTTAAAGTCAGTGGTACACTTTGAAAATGCATATGTTTAAGACTATGAGTAAAGCAACAAAGGTACCAATCATTTATGTTAACTGGAAAAGCCATTATGTTTGGTGAAAGTAAACAGGAGGTATTACATGGATACTTTCTACTGGGCTCTTAAAGAAATAACATCAACCAAGTTTGCTCTTGACTTGATTTCACAAAGGCACGTAGTACCAGTCTTACAAAAACCCAAATGGTCAAGGTGCTCTCTAAAAGTCTTTGACATGGTAGTATATAAATATAAAACCTGCAGAAGATGTGAATAGCTACAGCACAGCCTACAAATTAACCATCTGGCTAAAAAATAAGAGAATTTAAAGGCAATCAAATAAATTCATGGGAGGGAAAATGAAGGTGTTGACACAGACTTTGGTTGAGAAGCTCCTGAGTCTCAGGTTGTCAGAACTTGGATGGCTGTAACACAGAACACACACACACACTTGGTTGTCGTGGTTGTCTTCTTCCCATGCCGTCCCCCTCGCCGTCTTACCGGCACCCACTGGAAAGCCTCCAGGACCTCCTGGAGCCTTGCCCTGCTGCAGTATGGATATTCTTACATAACCTAAAGCAACCTGACAGGGTAAATACACTTGATTGATAGAAATTTGTTCAGCATGGATGGCTTGAAGCCACAAGGTCGAGAATTTAAGGTAATTTACTGCCATTTGTCATGCTGGGGAAGTGAAGGAAAACAGACATTTCCATAGATAATATACACTCTTAGCTGTGTTGCAGGCTGAACAGCAGAGGTTGCACTTTCTTGTGGAAGTACTGAAGTCTCCAGTTCTGATATTTTCTAAAATGAAGCATTTAGAGGGCTAGAAGCAATTAGGCTGTATACAAGAAATATTGGATATCGCTGAAAGAAGAACCGTCATGAATAGTCCATTCTGTAAGTTAAATGAATCCTGGGAGTGATATACTGTCCAAGTAGATGTGTCATTATCCCATAAGAAACATTATATCTTTTAAATTAATTGAAAAGTGAAGTCACCTGGCACTGAAGCAGAACATAATAGCAGTTATTTAACAGGTTGAAACAACTCCCATTGAATCACTAGTACTTATCTCCTTTGATGTAAGTAACCCAACCATTGTAAGAACAGATGTCAGTGACTGTGGATTAAGGGGACTACTACTGAAAGGGCGTGATGGTCTCCTGAAGTCAGTTGCTTACTATTTAATGACGATGAATAATACTGAAAGTAGTTATTCTGAAATTGAATCTTTCTCTTCTTAGTCAAAAATATAGGTAAAATCCTGAAGGATGAGAGTCTCATGAACTTGTTCCTGACTACATGCTGCTCATGCCAGGATAAACAGCTATGCTCTGGATAATATGATAGCAAGCTTTCAAGCTTACTGACAGTGTAATGGATTTTTGGTGGGGTGGCCATGGGACGAAAAAAAAGCCAAAAAAATTGAATTCAAGACTAATTGACACAACTTTTTCAGTAAAATTTGGAAAAAAATGTAAAAAGTTCATTTTAGATCAATTTAAAATAATGTATTAAAAAACCAGAGTCTTTGTTACTCCCAGGATATTTGAAACATTTTTACTTGCAATGATTATGGTGAAATTTACCTGAGAAAAGGGGCCCTATATACTGCCTGCTACAAAATCTGCAAATTAACACTTGGGGCCACAAGTTCTGTAGCGAGAGCTGGTGTAGGGAGTGCAACAGGGCAAGGATTTCCTTTCCTCCGTTATCAGGATGCAAATCAGGAGGTAGGATTAGGACCCAGACCACATGGCAGCCCCCCTTGTGATCCTGATACTGTTTTATGGGGAAGGGGCGGGGGGGTCTACCCCACCCCGGCTGAGGGGACAGGAG